GGAAGGTGTCTTAAGGTGAGTTCTAGGTTACCAGTTTGGAAACCAGGGTGAATGGTGGTGGCATTCACTGAGATAGGAAGATGCCCTGATTACACTACAGGTTAACAGAAACTTATTTAAAAGTAAGTATTTCACTCTCATGCTGACAGTGAACAACAATAATAAAAACCCAGAAAGAAGTTTCTGATTAATTTTTCCCACATATGTTTGCCTGCGATCATATACAGACATGCTTATGTGGCTTAAACTAAAAATAATGCTTCATCAAAACCAGTATCATATGGTGCTGTTTTGAAGTTTTAGGATAAAATCAGAAAAGAAAACAAATGGAAGATACAAAGTGTTTCTGGCATGCATGAAATTAAAAAGCAAAGCATGGAAAACCTACTACAGTGCTACTGTAATCAAAACAACATGGTACTTGCATAAAAACTGACACATGCACCAATGGAACAGAATGTAAAGCCCAGAAATAAATCCACACATTTACAATCAATCAATCTCTGACAAAGATGCCAACATCACACAATGGGAAAAGGACCTTCTCATTAATAAATGGTGCTAGGAAAACTGGATATCCATATGCAGAAATATGAAATTAGACCCAAATCTGACACCATATATAAAAATCAACTCAAAATGGATTAAAGACTTAAATGTAAGACCTGAAACTGTAAGAATACTAGAAGAAAACATAGCGGAAAAGTTCTATGACATTGGTCTGGGCAAAGATATTTTGGATATGACCCCAAAAGCAGGAAACAAGAGCAAAAATAGACATATGGAATTATACATGAACTATTAATACAAAACTTCTGCACAGCAAAGGAATCAACAGAGTGAAGAGACACCCTATGCAATGGGAGAATATACTTGTAAGTCATACATTTGTAAGAAGTTAATATGCAAAATATGTAGGGAGTTCAAACTCAATAACAATAATCCAATTTTTAAAAGTGGGTAAAAGACCTAAATAGATATAGCCAACAGGTGTACAGAAAGGTGCTCAACATCACTAATCATCAGGGAAATTCAAGTGAAAACCACAGGCGATATCACCTCACACCTGTTAGAATAGTTATGATCAAAAAGCCAAAAGATAACAAGTGTTGTCGAAAATATGGAGAAAAAGGAATCTTCACACCCTACTGGTGGGAATGTAAATTAGTACAGCATTATGGAAAACAGTATGGAGGTTCCTAAAAAATTAAAAATAGAACTACCATATGATCCACCAGTCCCACTACTGCATGTGTACCCAAAGGATACGAAATCAGTATGTTGAAAGGGGTATCTGTAATGCCATGTTCATTGCAGCATTATTCACAGTAGACAAGATATAGGATCCACCTAAGTATCCATTAATGGATGCATGGATAAATGTGGGACATATACAAAATTAAATACTATTCGACCCTAAAAAGGAAGAAAAACTAGCTGGGTGTGGTGGTGCACACCTGTAGTCCCTGCTTCTTGGGAGGATGAGGCAGGAGGATAGCTTGAGCCCGGGAGTTGGAGGTTGCAGTGGGCTATGCTGCACTCACTCTAGCCTGGGTTACAGGCCAAGACCCTGTCTCAAAAAAAAAAGAGAACAAAAACAAAAAAAGAAGAAAAATTTGACATTTGTTACACCTAGAGGACATTGTGTTAAGTGACATTAGGCAGGCACATAAAGACAAAGGCTGCATGATCTCATATGTGGAGTATAAAAGAAAAGAATGTTGAACTCATAGGAACAGAGAGTAAAATGGTGGTTATCAGAGGTTGGGGGTCGAGGGAATGGGAAGATGTTTGTCAAATGACACAACATTTCAGTTAAATAAGTTCAAGAGATCTGTTATACATCATGGTGACTAAAGTTAATCACAATACATTGTACACTTGAAAATTGCCGAGAGATTTTAAGTGTTCTCACAACAAAAAAATATGTGAGGTGATGCGCATGTTAAATAGCTTGAATTAGCCATTCCACAATGTATACAAATATCGAAACATCATGTAGTACACTATAAATATACACAATTTTTATTTGTCAAATAAAAATGAAGAAAACATACCCAAAAGCAACCATCCCCCCAAAAACAAATAAAAAGCAAAGCATAATTACTATTTCTGTCCCCTGATCATTAACATCTCTCTCTTAGAGATTTAATTTTTTTAAAAATTCTGGACCTGCAAAAAACATATGAAAAAATGCTCAACATCTCTAATCATCAGGGAAATGCAAATTAAAATCAC